GAATAACCAAAAGAGAAAAGAAAAACCAGGTGTCATCGAGTGACTTCTGACTCATGATCCCATGTGCGTTAGATTAGAAATGTTTTCCATAGGGTTTTGATGGCTGATCTTTCGGAATCAGATGGTCAGGTCTTTCTTCCCAGGCACCTCTGAATGGATGTGAGCCTCCTACCTTTCGGTAGCCACTCAGGGGCTACTATATGGAGCCAAATCCAACCTAGCACATTATCATTGAGTCAATTTCCACACTTAGCAACCCTATATATAAGGTTTCCTAGTCTGCAAACCACTGCACATCTGTCAGTTTGTCATACTGTGGTGGCTTGTGAGTTGTTTTGATTGTGTGGATCATGACAGGCTATTGACAACATTGCAAAGTATGAGTATTCTGTAACACTTAATTTTACTCATGAGGAATCTGTACCTGGACCAAGAGGCAATTGTTCAAACAGAACATGAGAACACTGAATGCTTTAAAATTAAGAAAGATGTGTGACAGGGTTGTATTCTTTCATCATACTTATTCAACCTGTGTGCTGAGCAAATAATCGGAGAAGCTGGGTTATACCAAGAAAAATGTGGCATCAAGATTGGAGGAAGACTCATTAACAACCTGTGATATGCAGATGATACAACCTTGCTGGCTGAAAGTGAAGAGGACTTAAAACATTTACTGATGAAGATTAAAGAGCACAGCCTTCAGTATGGATTGCATCTCAATGTCAAGAAAACAAAAATCCTCACCACTGGACCAATAAACAACATTCCTGTCACTGGAGAAAGGATTGAAGTTGTCAAGGACTTCATTCTTCTTGGATCAACTATCAACACTCATGGAAGCAGCAGTCAAGAAATAAAACAAAATATTGCATTGGGCAAATCTGCTGCACAAAACCTTTTTAAGGTGTTGAAGAGCAAAAGATGTCAGCTTGAGGACTAAGGTGCACTTGACCCAAGCCATGGTATTTTCAATAACCTCATATGCATGTGAAAGCTGGACAGTGAATAAGGAAGACAATAGAATAATTGATGCTTTTAAATTATGGTGTTGGAAAAGAATGTTGAAAGTGTCATGGGTTGCCAAAAGAACCAACAGATCTGTGTTGGAAGAAGTGCAGTCAGAGTGCTCCTTGGAGGCCAGGATGGCCAAACTTCATCTCTCATACTTTAGACATATTGTTGGGAGGGAACAGTCGCTGGAGAATGATGTCATGTTTGGTAGGATGGAGGGTCAGAGAAAAAGAAGACCCCCAGAGAGATGGATTAGCAAAGTGGCAGCATCGATGGACCCAAGAGTGGAAATGATAGTGAGGTTGGCCCAGGATCGGGCAGTGTTTCGTTCTGCTGTGCATAAGGTCACTATGAATCAGTACTGACTTGATGGCACCTAGCTCTGGTAGCGTAGTGGTTATGAATCAGGCTGCGAACCTTAAGGTCAGTGGTTCGAAACTACCAGCCGCTCCGCGGGAGAAAGATGAGGCTTTCTACTCCCGTAAGGATTTACACCCTCGGAAACCCTGTACAGGGTCGCTATGGGTCGGCTCTGACTCGAAGGCACTTAACAACAACAACAACAACAGTCTGCAAATCTTTATGGGAGCAGACAGCCTCATCTTTCTCCTGTGGAGTGGCTGATGGGTTTGAATGGCTAATTTTTTAGTTAGCAGTTCAATGCCTAACTCACAGCAGGGATTCTGGAGGTCCTAAACCAATGTAACTGGTATTTTAATTTAAAAACACACACAAAAAAGGAGAAGAAACACAGAGAAAAGAACACCATATGATGACAGAGAAAGAGATTTGAGTTAGTGATTTGTCTACAAGCCAAGAAGTGTTGGGCACCACTAGAAGCTACCAGGCATGACTGGACTGTCCCTAAAAGCTCCCAAACAAACCAGCCCTGCCAACACTTTGATTTCAGGCTTGCAGCCTCCAAATGTGTGAGATGGTATGTTTCTTTTGTTTCAACAGAAATGTTAAAGCCTCTTATGAATGCACTATCTTACAGACCCGCTCACAGTTCCATCTTGTGAGCAGGTAGAGGGAGAAATTGAGACTTCCACAGCTCAGAAGTGATCCTCCCAGGGAATGGCTGAAGTAGGTCCATCCCTTGTCCTCACATCTCCCTGTCCAGACTCCTGCCCACTCCTTGCCAAAGCTCTCCCTTTCTCATGTCTCAGAGACACCTGCTCTTTTGACTGTGACAGGGTGTCAACTTCCTCTCACAGCTGTCCCAGAAACCGGTGCCTGTGGCCCAGCTTCTGCTGAATGGAAAAACCCCAATAACAAGGGCATAGTGTCTGTGCCACCCGACTTCCACAGACACCTGGAGCTCCGGGAGCACATGGAGCTGCTAAATAGCCTCAATTGTTCTCTGTACCACAGTCTTTGAAGCTCCTGAGGAGCAGTTTAGCACAGTTTAGCGTTTCACACGTTCACAAAGCCCTCAGTATGTCCCCACCAACCGTGTCACCCTTTAGGGACAAGTACAAGGCGTGTTTGGACTGAGGAGAAGTGGCCGGGGACTATGCCCAGTGGAGCCCTCCACCAGGTCCCTGGGTTGGCTCAGAGGGAAGAGATTCTAGGAGACACACTGCAGAGTGGGCGCCCTGCCTGGAGCACAGCCAACACCAAACACCACTCCTCACCCTCCCCTGTGACCTGGTGAGTCATTTGACCTCTCTGGGTTTCAAATAGTCTTCAGTTAAATAGGGTGATGAGATCTGCAAGGCCTACCTCGCCAAATTAGATGCGATTTTTGTTTTCATTTCTTTTAAAATCTCCTCTTCCAGACATGGCATGGTGTCCAGTAAACATTAACCACTTAATACGTGTTCACAAGGGGGAACACAGCAGGCTGCTCATAGTCATATTGGAATGGTCTCCCAGGCTTTCCCCAACCCCTCCTGTCCATACACTTTTGTCTCACCCACACCACTACGTGCCTTTGAAAGTTATTCAGCAAACAGGATGTGAGAGTTAAAGGTGAAAAGCCTCCTCCCCCCACCCCTGCTCCTGCCACCCTCTAGAAAAGGATCCATGGTGGCACAGTGGGTTAAGCATTGGGATGCTAAATGAAAGGTCAGTGGTTTGATGCCACCAGTCACTCCACACCAAAATGATGTGACAGTCTGCTTCTGTAAAGATTTACAGCCTTGGAAACTCTATGGGGCAGTTCTACACTGTCCTGTACTGTTCTCATGAGTTGAAATTGACTAGTGGGTGGGTGGCCTCACTAGTGGGCCCTCTGAGCTCAGGTAGGATGTGTGTGACTATGGACGACAAGTCATGTCTATTCCCTGACTTGATTTACTGGGTGCCCACCCACGCTGCAGTCTAACTGTCACAGGTGTACCCCAGCCCCATCCTGAACCACCACTGTTTATCAAAGTTGGACACTGGAGACAGGAGCCCAGGAGAGAGGCTACAATACAATGCAGGATGAAGAGGATCGGGAGTCAGTCAAAGCTGAGCACCTGCAAGATCCACCCAGAGAAAAAGGAGGATTTTGCTCTAACATTCTCCTCAAATAATCTCTGCTACCAAGAAAGCACTACAAGAGGGCCACAGGGAAATTTGAGCTGTGAGCAATGCAAAGTTGCTGTTGAGTGCTGTAACTCAAGAGGGTGTGCAGATGGACCGCACACAAGGTCAGCCATAGCAGGTGTCAGTGGTTAACCTCTGAGAACATTTGCATCTGTTTGGGGGGTTTTGTTTTTTTTAACCCTGTTGCAGAACAAACAAAACTGTGAAGATTCATACTTCACAATTAAGCTGTCTGTGTGTACCTTTAGCAATTTCATCATGTTTCTGACGCTTGCAAAACCTATTTTTACTCTGAGATTTTAGTTTTTTTTTAGTGGGTGGGGAGGTGTGCACATGGATTCACAAGCACTAAAACTTCCTTTTGGGATCTTTCTTGGAAAAGAGAAAGGTCTGGGAGAAATTGGTAGGAACTTAACTGGACTGTCCAGCTGAGGGCAGCCGAGTGCCACAAATGGGGCCCGGGCTGAGCAAGTGAGGAAAACGGGAAAGGACTTCCCTGCTGGGGAGCACTCTGGAGGAACAAGCACACAAGAGCCAGCCCCACTGGGGTGGCTGCCACACTCTACACTCACTGACAGATCATGGCCCTCCATGCCTCACTCCCCATCACACTTGGGAAGCAGAGACTAGCATGATCCCCATTCTGTAGTGGACAAGACTGCAGTTCTCTGGAATCACATCAGTAGAGACAGGCCAAGGCAACGAGCAAGGGGCAGCAGTCAAAACCCAAGTCTGCCCTGTTTTCTTAAGAAAGCCTTGTGTGCTTGATCATGTGAGTGATCGTGTGTGCAGCGAGGGTGCCCGTGCATGGCTCGTGGCATATGTGTGCGCATGAGCATTTGAGAGAGAGTGCCTGTGAGCATGGGCGCGTGTTGGGTGGGCCAGTATGTTCATGCATGCTTGTGGGGGGCTGTGCATGTGGGTGTGCACGTGCATGTTAACACACAGGTGCATCTACATCGCAAACACCAAATGTCACCACCACAAGCACAGAGCAACTATTTCTGCATGTTCCATCATGAACACCGCAGAAGGCAGTGGGACTGAGGAGGACCACCAGGCTGGCCTCCTCCCCACCAGCCCCTGCACGCACTACTGTCCATCTTCAAATGTGCCCTTTGGGTAGGAATCAGCCCTGCTTCTTTCAGAGAACTTAGAATAGAGGAGAACCTAAGCTACCCACTGGTGAGGGGTGCACAGGCAGAGCCTGCACCTGGCTTTATCTTCCCAGCTGCCCAAACTAGATATCTCACAATGACCCTAGTCCTCTGTACCTCACTCTTCACAGGTCATGCCTTGAGCACAGAGCGAATGGAAATCTCTCCCAGCAGAGGTGGTATGGCCTGGGCTGAAATTCTGGTGGTCTCTGAGCACTCAGAAGGGGTGCTGCTCAGGACAGGGCTCAGAACAGCCTCATGCCTGCCCACCACACCCAGCCCACTCCAGGCCCCTACCTGAGCCCTGCGGGGCAGCACTGGACAGGATCCACTTGACCAGACAGCACCGCATCAAGGCCTTTCGGGTGAACCTCGGCCGCTGCCATTTGATGCCCTCCTTCTTGTTCAGTGGTGTATGTCCAGGGTCCCCCAGGAGGCTGCCATCTGATGCCTTCATCACCTCCTGCAGCAGGAACAGACAGAGCAGCCCTGAGCTGTTGACCACAGAGGAAACTTTCTGGGTGAGGCCACTTGTCTTCCAGGGCACGCATGCAGGAACCCCAAGTCCTGGCTGGAGAATTCCTGGGGCTCTGCTGCCCCATCAGCCGCATCAAGCATCTGCCCCTTGCATTGGGCATCACCCACCCACCTCTCACCAGCCCTGCTACTCCTCCAAGGGCCACCTCATGGACACAGATAATATCCAGTGCCCCCAAAATGGAGGCATGGGGTTGAGCACACACCACTTTGTCTCCCATATATGCTTCCCTCTGGCAGTACTATCCTGCTCCCTGCTGTGGGAATGCACAGGCAGTTCTTCTGACCTGGGGAGTCTCTCCTGCTCAGCCCACTAGACCCTAACCAGTTTTTGTCAAGGATTCTAACTCATTCTACCTTGTGTGTGCAGAATAAAACTGTGCTTGGCAATAGGGTTTCCATGGCTGGGAGCTTTCAGGAGTAGATAACCAGGCCTTTCTTCTTAGGCTCCTCTGGATGGGCTAAAACTGCCAACCTTTCAGTTAGTATCCCAGTACTTAACCATGTGTGCCATCCAGGTACTCATCAGTGGATCCTACTCATGCTTCAAAATCGTGTCAGCATGTCACCACCTCTGCCACGAAGTCCTCCCTGATTTCTCCAGCTGAGGGAGCTTTGTCCTTGACTATACTCCCAGTAAAGCCCAGATGGCACAGTGATAATACTGACAGAAACTGTTGATTGTGGATAAGGCTTATGGTTTTCTTTCACTCTGCACCCTGGGGCCACACAGGATGAGATCCCTGTGAAATCTCTGTGTGAGGAGGAAGAGGGGAGCCCCAGACCTTTTCATCAATACCTTTCACCCCAGCATAGGCCAGATTGTCAGAGCTAGATGACCCCTAGAGATCACAGTCCAAATTCCACATTTGACTGCAGCCCAGAGAGGGTGTGAATCTGCACACCATCACATAGCAAAGGTGGGCCTCCTCAATCTCCAACAAGGCCCTTACTCTGCCAGAGTTTTAACTGAAGCAAGCTAAGGATGAATGGCAGGCCAGGTGACCATCCAGGTAGAGGCACATTTATAGTGATCTAAATAAACAACAACTGATTAGAGGAGTCTTCAAGAAGGGAGCTGGGCTGGCAGGTTATTGCAAGATGCCAAGCTGTAAGCATGAGACTGAAGATCCAAAACAGATTCAGAAGCCCCCAGGACAGCAAGATTGGCTTTCCCCTGATGCAATTTCAAGCCCCTGACTCCTGACTACTAACCACCCACTTCCTCTGGTGGCACAGGTAGCCCCTTGTCGGTGAGGCCTGGCTGAGGGTTGCACACAGGCAAGCTGCAATTGACCAAGGTTCCCCTTTGTGTGTCTACTGGGCAGGCTTTGCAGATGAGGTACCTCAAACTCAGCCCCAGATCTGGTCAGGGTCCTCAGATGCAAGTGACAGAAAGTAGCCAAGGATGACTTAAACCAGAAAGGAATTAGCAGTGGGGATCCCAGGCCAGCCAGACTTCCATGGAAAGACAGAGAACCAGGCTTGGAATCAGACAAGAAAGAGGAAAGAGTGAGCGACAAGACAGCCAGGTCCTGACCAGACCACAGTGCAGGACAGTGTGCTGACCCCTGCTGCTGGCACTGAGCCCCCCTCAAAACCCTGCTGCTCCTGGAACCAGGAGAGTGCTGTCGGGACCACCACTGTTGAGTTACTAGCTCTGGGTTCCAAGTCAAGAGTGCAGGACAACAGATGAAATAGTTATCATTAATATTATATAAATAGGAGCCATGGCAGTGAAAGGTCGGAAGTTCAAGTCAATGAGAGAACGATGAGGCAGTCAGTTCCGTAAATAATTACAGACTCAGAAACTCTAAGGATCAGTTCTACTCTGTCTTAAAGGGCCACGGTGAGTCATAATTCACTAGATGGCAGGTTTGGCTTGGTTTTTGGTTTACTATTTAAATGAAGAGCCTGAAACACTAAGATGTTAAATAACTTTCTATATTGACACAGTTATCAAACACTAATGCTACATTCTTTCTTCTTTTCAATATGCAATATTGAAAATATTGTCTTTAGTCCATCAATAAAAGTCTTGAATATTCTTTCCAAAAAAAAAAAAAAAATGTGCAGGAGGAGTCTTGTTGCAGTGAGGATAGCAAGCACTGGCCTAAAACTCTCTGGTAGTGCCCTCGATGGGGAGTATCCTGAACTCGGGGAGACAGAAAAGTTCCACAAACATTCCCTAAATTATGGAGTATAAGCAATATCCAAGAGAGGGGAAGCTGTTCTGTATATCCTGCAGGCTGGAGCCATCAGATTTGGGGCCTTGAGATACCACCTTTGGGGCCAGGAAATTGGTCTCTTGATCAGCTTCTGTCTCACCTAGACAACAACGTGGTCCTCCTGGCTGCCTTGGCAGGGCGATGTCCAAACCCCTTATCCTGACTTTTGAGGCTTTTCTCAGCCAGGTCCCAACCTGCTGGTCCCTCATCTCAAAGTTGTTACCCCCACCTCTGAGCACACACCTTGGCAACACCCCCAGCTCCTCCCCCTTCTCCAAGGCTCACCTCTGCAACATGGGTGTCAGGGGTGCCCGAAGATGTATTGACGGGAGATGCTACCTTCCTGATGAGGTAGCCCGTGGTGCCAAGGGAAGCTCCGTATACACACACATACATACGTGCACACTGGTCTTGTTCAGGCTACTGTCGGAGACACCTTCCCCATTATTAATGATCTTATTCAGGACAGAAGCAAGCTCAATGAATGAAGTCTTTATTTTAGTCCAGGAGCGGGCAATGGATTAGCACACCAATGTTCTGCTGTTGGCTCTGTATGGAGCCTGGAGGACTTCTGAAGGAGGAAGTGAGGTAGAGTCCAGAGCCTCTGGCAGGAGCTGTCTGTGGGAACCCCCTACGAGCCAGGGCAGAGCTGGTGCTGCCTGGCAGTGACTGTCCTCTCCGGTGCTAGTCACGTACCTCTGTCCTGCAGCCCCAGGTCTGGACTGAGGTGGAGACACCCAGCTGGTGGCCCTGGGTTCTAGTTGACAGTGGTTCTGTCCATTTTGGGACATTGGGAGGACCCCCTTTAGTGAAGGTTTTATTTTGGGCTGCAATGCTTGTCATTTCGTCCTCACAACAACCCCATGAGGTGAGCAGTATCACTCCCTGGTCAGCTTCTGTCCCCTGGGTAGGCCTCCAAACTTTAGGGGTGCCCCTAGCTTATTAATCATGTCAACAGTGTTTATGAATATCCTAAGAACCCCAGTGTGTCCTCCCTGGTAGGGGGAGAGGAGTGGGTTTGGGACAAGAACAGGACACCCCCACCTGTCTGGAAGCCTTGCTCTGTTAGGTGGGTGGAGGGAACCTGGGGATACTGACAGGGAGGAGATGAGTTCAGCTCAGGCCACCCAGGAGGAGCTGATACCCATTAGACTGTGGAGTAGGGTCACCTCATGAATATTTGACACTTGTCTGTCTGGGAGAGGGTCTGACTGAACGCTTGAGAATGTTAATCAGACACTCAGGCACCTTCCTTCTAACCAGAGAATCTCCCGGACACTGCAGGGAGGGAGAGCCTGGAGACAGAGCCCTGGGTCTGAGTTGGATCTTTTGGGGACTCAGGGGTGCCTCTGTGTTGGTCCAGAGAGGACATCCCAAGGTCTGATTAAGGAGGGCAGTGTGAGGGCTGGTGCAGTCATGACTTTAAAACATACATGTGTCCCCTCCAACTCCTGCCTTCCAATGGCTTCCCATTGCATTGAAAGTAACCCCCCAAAACTTGATAGAACCTACAAGGGCCCACTTAGTCAGGCCCTGCCTGGTGTTTGTCAGCCTGAACCACCTACCCCACCCATCCGCTCTTCACATATACCAGGCTAGTTCTCACATCACGGCCTTTGCACTGCCATTCCTTCTGCCTTTAACAAGTCTGCCCCCAGACCTAGGGCTGCCCCTTTCACTTTCCAGACCCCACTCAAGCATGAGTCCTGGGAGGGGCTTTCCTGACTCCCTCTCTGGAGTGCCTCCCCCCCCCACACACACACTCCTTCATTCACTGGCTTCCGTGTGCCGTGGTACCCACAACTTTTTGAACATGTCCTATATATTTGCTTTCTGGTGCATTTTCTGTCTCTGCCCACTAAAATGTCAGTGTTTGTAGGCTGATTTGTGTCTTCCACCTTGTCCTGGGAATGTGAGCTTATTTAGAAGTAGGGTCTTTGCAGATATTATCAGTTAGCATGAGGTCATACTGGAGTAGCGTGGGCCCTATTCCATATGAGTGGTGACCTTAAGAAAAGGAAAAGAGGAACAGACCCAGAGAGCGATGGTCATGTGACACTGGGAGCAAAGCCTGAGCCGTGCTGCCACAGCAGGAATGCCTTCCAGGGACACCATCTGGAGGAGGCCTGGAAAGATCTTCCCCTACCTTTGGAGAAAGCACGACCTTGAACTCAGACTTCTAACCTCGAGAACTGTGAGAGAATAAATTTATGTTCTTATAAGCCACCCAGTTTGTGGTAATTTGTTAGAATAGCTTTAGAGAACAAAGACGGTTAGTTCAGTGAGAGAGCAATCTCACCATGGTGTATATGGCTCTTGAGACACACAAGAGAAGGCTACACTCAGAACTCAACATGAACAATAAAACTCACAACAATTCAGTTAGAAAACTGGCAAAAGGCAGAGATAGGCAAGGGGCCAAGAATTTCATTTTACTCAGATCAAAAATCAATGCCTAGGGGAATGTTGTTGTTGTTGTTGTCAGGTGCCATCGAGTTGGAACCGACTCATAGTGACCCCAGGCACAGCAGAATGAAAAAATGTCCAATCCTGGGCCAACCACACTACCGCTGCCACACTTGAGTCCATCAATGATACCACCTGGCTGATCCATCTCGTTGGGGGTCTTCCTCTTTTTCTCTGACCCTCCACCTTACCCAGCATGACATCCTTCTCCAA